GCACACAAACTTAACGAGAATATCAGGTGTTTTGGGAGTAGACGTGTGAAGAGTAGATGAATGGCTACAGTATCACGTCCCCGCGACTACAAGAAATTTTCAAGGTCAAAGACATCTGACAACTTTAAATTGGTTGCCTAAACTAACACAATGTTTTTTGAGTTTTTTCACTCACAGGACGCTAGCACAAAGGCTTGTTTATAAAATCACGTGAAATTTAGTTATCGCTCAGCTTGAGGGTTCATATGATTCAAATTGGTTGGGCATCCAAGGTCATTGGATGCCATCGAGAATTCATTCTTGGGGCTCCGCTGCATGAACCGAAGTCCTGATTGCATTCGCGGCCGATTAATCCGCTGCAGGCCCCAACTTTGCACCGAAACTCAATCAATGAACCCTTATTCGATATTGTGGGCAGCAGGCTCAATATGGATACTGTGAAAATTTGTCATCAGATCAAATTTATTCAATTGAGGATGGATTGACCTTCCACTGCCACTGTGTTTCACACAGACCATTAAACGTCTGGCATGACACTGGAAAGTCTATACAAATCACTGCGATCTCTACAGTGTCGATAGCTTCGTGGACAGCTTGACAATAGTTGGAAGTACCGTTTTGATTATCTAAAACAGACAGATAATTTTGAGTTTGCAGGTAAAGGCTCGTAACGGATGATTGCTAAAGTCTTCTGGCCCTAGTTTCCACTTTTGACCTGAGGCTGTTTTTCGAAGTAAATTTCGTCAACTCTTTTTGTTTGACTGTCTGAGATCCGCGCATATATCTATGGCTGAATGAAAATATGTCTGTATTTTAGAAATACTTTCGCCCCAAACAAAGCAATTTTAGCCGGTGTACAACCTCACTTGTACTTTTCAGAAAAAGAACTTACATTTCCTGCCTCCTCTACAGACTACAGACGTTGCCACGAGCTGACTAGCTAGACAAAATAGGCACAGGGTTGTATATCACATGTACCTGCGGAAAGTTTAAAACATCTGAACTGGGTATGCCTATTGCTATTCCATTGTTTTGCACAACCTTTGCACTCATACTGATTTACATTCGAATAAGCCATCGTGCCACGTTCACAAGAGGATCATTGAATCAGGCTCAGCTCAGTAAAGCACGAATATTGAACTCGTATACATACATAAAGCGTTTGTTGATGTGCAAAACGTGTCGCTGGGATGCTGTACTTCAAAGTAGTCTTGACGTGTGGTCTGCTCCTCGGTTTCTCGATGATCACAGAGAGTTTGAACTTCAAAGATTGTGGTAAGCTTCCGAAAATAATTCCCAGCACACCGGATATGTTGCGGTGAAACTTAATATTTGATACAAGACGCAGGATTTCACATTGCTACCTGACCTGTTACGCCTCACCTGGGTTTTTTTAGGGTTTCACGATGACGCCCAGATATTACCGAGCAGACCGAATTTTCAAATGATTAATGTTGTTGGGCGAAATATTATTTTTCCTCTGATAACGTTGTATTTCTGAGGACCGAGTTTTCGGTGAAGGTCATTTCCCGTAAGACAGTTAGTTCAACGTGTGCGAGAAGAATGTGTTTCTTTCGTAATAACCATTCCAGCGACATTTTCGGGAACAAACTTCTCCTTGATGTTATTTTCCAAATAAAGGCGAACACGGCTCTTGTGAATTTTGCATTTTATCAAGGGATGCATGACTGTCTGGCCAGATTAGCTGTGACTGACACATGACTGTCCAATGCCATGACGTCCAATGCCTTGGCAAAAATGATACTGATTTCTTGTCCATGTATCGCCTTGTTGTATCACGAATTCCGTACTAGCAATCCATGAGGACGGTCGTTTAGGGCATTTCATTCCCCTTCGTCCACTATGGCAGTGTTGCCCTTTGATATCCGTAAATATGTTGGCCTTGGCACCATAAAGGATGACCGAGCCTCATTCTAAATTTTTCCTGTTATTACTCCAAGATCTCTTTTGGATCGCGGCTTCGAAAGTCTAGAATGTTATCCGTCACTCCTTCAACAATTAATTCTTTCGTTTTTTTCTGCCCGTCTTACCTGATTTTGGAAGCAAGGTATTGCCGGAGTGGGATCAGCTGTTATTCCCGGCTGCTTCCTCGACTAAGATGCCAGCTGTACAAACGTACACCGCCAGGTGAATTCCCTGACGTCAGGCAATTTTTCCTCTGCTTCTGGCCAACTGACGGCCAGGAATGACTGACCGAGATGTTCCGGACTGGCTATCAAACGTACCACAATTTCGTGGCGTATCGTCGTTAAATTGAAACCCATTCTTTTGCCAGTACTTCAAAAGAAAACGATTCTTTACTCCGTGGAATCTATATTAATCAAGACAATTGGAGAAGGACGTGACTCGTGTTTGCCTGACACTTTTATTTGTGGACTGTAATCCATAAACAACGCTTTTATTGTTTGCTTGTTTCATCCAATTCCAGCCCCTGAATCGACCGTGAAAGGAGTGTTCGTAAGGAGGAAATTTGCGCTTGCACATGTATTTTTCACCTAACTCATTCTACGCTGTGTGGTTGCATGGGACCCTGACTGGCCGTTGATGCTCCTGTTTTCTTCACCATTCTGCCTCTCCAAATGGCACAGGTTCCACGGACGTTTCTGTGATGAGAGTGACGCTTTCTCCAAGCAGTAAAGTACCTTGCGTTATTGTTAGGGGAAAACAATCCGAGTCGAAATTGAGTTCGTGGCAGGTGAGTAGTGATTTGATCAAGGTGTTCAGTGAAAATTTGCTTTACAATGTTGCAAATTGCGAAATCAAATAACATTCAATCCACGTTGAATACGTCGAGCCCACTGTGGCGCGTTGCTTCGCGTAGTCCAAAATGTAGCTGTAATATGTCCAGCAACATTTCTGTGAGCGTAGGCAACTAAATTCAGTCTTCCGGGTTCTGTCTTACGCAGTGGGATTTTTCATTATTTGTGACTGTATGACCATATGCTTTCTCAGGTGTCCATTTACTGTTACACAATTGTAACCGAACAATTTAGAGCACCCATGATAGTTGTGCAGCGTAGTTTACATTCCACCAGGTGAGAGAGCGTAAATTAGACACCAGCAGATAGGCTACTTGCCTGTTTCATCAGTAGGTTGCACCAGTCCATCTGTAACGGCATGACATTTTGAAATACACTGTCTTCGTTTGCTACCTGAACTCAACATGTTTTCTCTTCATTTTTGCTTCCGTACTCGTATTCGTCTGAACAGACAGGGACATCGCTACCGAACTCCCCGAAATCAGGGGTTCATCTGGGCACGGGCCGCAGGTGCTACAATTCCCGGAAGGCGGTATACGTGCTCACATGAGTCCATCTTGCCCCATCAAAGCTAGGAAATTCTACGCTTACTTTACAGGCCCAGAGTGAACTTGCAGAGCAAGCCTGTAAGTTTCAAGCAAACCGTTTTTCAACACCAAATTAGGTCTTATACATTGTCAAAGACCCGACGAGAAACCGAAGCTATTCCGCTCACCTAAGTGGGAGATTCTATGCTAACTACATCGCTGAACGGCTTGTAAAATATATTTTCCAAAATTTAGGACATCCGGTAGGATTTATGCGTCACTACATAGAATTCCCAGGATTTAAGCAGCTTAAAGCTTGCCATTTCTCGTAAGAATACCTTGTGTTTGTGACATTCCGTTTTTATTTCCTACTGCAAAACCTAAATGAGAGTGATTGAGTGGTATTTGAAACGGTGGCTCTCATACACAGTGGGTAAAACGTAAAGTGTTGGCGGAAAGTCAATTTAAGAGCTACTTCCCGGCTGCTGACACGCATACGTGCATGTACTATAACCAAGAATGGGAATGGCCTCATTGAGTTTCTTAACAGGATATGACAATGAGCACTAATAATATCCTTCTCACGCCTCACTCATTAGGCTCTCTTGTTTATAGGAGGCTACTGAGCTTACCTCAGTTGAATAAGCACAAAATGCTCTCTGCAAGATGCCACCTGCCGAATCGTCTAGTGTGGAAATCGTGTTTTTTATCTCAGTATATCCCTACAGTAGTGAGGGTAGTCCACGCCAGTTTGCGAAGTCCATAGATGGTCGCAATGTAAATGAGATGTTCCAGGTATCCTGATTAACTATCGGTGGCTTCTGCTTTCTTTCTAAAGTGGAGAGAGCACGACAGGTCTTCTGAACTACGCTGGTGTTCAGCGCAACCCGGGAGAGCTCAAACTCACCGCAACTGACGATCAAAAGCATCTTTGTTAATGGTTGGTATCACAGATCTGGAAATTCCTCAATACAAGCTAAGTTACTGTCGTTAACTCAAGTCTTTTGGATCCAAACATTTTCAAGAACCGAACGTAGATACCAGTGGGTCAAATGCTACGAGTAATGAGTGCGACCCATCCCTGGAAGAGGATGGTAACTTAGTTTGGCGCAGAATCTTTTGGATCATGAAGCGTTGCGCGCTGGAGTACTTCAAGAGAGCTCTGGATCGGCACACCACAATCGGGTCACAAGGCATGTTCGCACTATTTTCGCCCAGGTGTAGATTAAAGACCGTTTCTGCCGTAAATCAAGCTCTCATTTTTCAAGATTAGTACACATATCAGCAAGAACAACATCGTGGGTGTTTACCTGGGCATCGTACATCATTGGACAAATTTGGTAATGTTGACAGGCTTCCGGGACAATTAAGCTTTTGAACGGAAATCCACAACTTTCCCAATTGACGTCATACGAATGGACCTATCATTGTAGATTTCACGTTGCGCTCGATCCTTCTGCATTCGTATAAGAGGCCGTATTGGCGAGCATGTCTACCTCCCTCTAGGATTCTACTGTTTAAGCGGTTGAGAATAATCGATGCAAAATTTTCTTCAAGCAGTCTTCATTAGTCCTACAATTTCTTTCATTAGGGCTCCTTTGAATACCTGGGAGAAATTTTGAGTCCCACATATCGTATACCTCGGAAGTTAGACGCCATTTCCACCGCTGCTGTGGCAGTTTTTTCGTCAAATCCGGGAGCGTCCTCAGATTGCGTTTCAATTACACAGAATCTCATAAGAATTACCAAGTGTTCCAGCAGCCACAGTCAGAAAGTTTCATCAAGAACAGTGTTCCCCTTACCCGAACATTTGTCTAACTGATTCCAGAATCCCCTCGCGACATTTCTGGGCCACAAGCGACTCGGTTGTTTGTAGCATTGGTGTAAGTCGTCTATTTTGCAATTTTTCAAACTTCATATTCAATAGTCCCCCAATGCATGTTCCCGCAGATTTTTTCCAGTAAACTGGTGTATGCCCTGATACCTTTTCTGTGTTAATTCATACCTATCAAAATTAACTCATGAATTGCTTTCTTTCCAGGGTCCTCAGACTGTCAGAATAGAGCTATTGTACAGAAACCGTACAAAATTCATGTGCATCGATATTCCAGTTGAAATCGCATAAACGGCATAAAAGGTCGTGACTGAATCATTGCTCCGGATGAAAACTCCATGGTGAACATCGTGACATTATCTCCGTTTTTTGGCCTTCTCTATCCAAGGGCTCACAAAAACCGATAAAGCAGACTGCTCCTGACATGACTGATTCGCCATTTTTTATAGCAATATTTGGAATGCAGAAACAAAGAAACGTGTGAATAATAGGAACTTTGAACTATGAAAGTTGCATTATGCCGAAACCCCTGGTAGAGGCATATAAACAACAAGTAAAGTTGCCGATTATCACGAAGGTCCAAAATAACACAAAATCATTGTCCCAGGGTAACATGAGAAATCAAAAGTCCGACATATGCCTCACAGGCCTCCTTCGGAGAGAAGGGGTTTTGTAATTTTTTTTGTTGAATGTCGGCTGGATGTCGGAACAAGACAAATACCAGGGAGCTGATTGTGTTTTTGGTCCATGAGGTTGAACCTCTTGGTATTTGCCTTCACAGGTGTAATGTTCTCGCTCTGAGTTCGGGTGGACTTTTCATCGTGCCTCTTGAGTTAATCGCTTGTAACGACGCTGTGATGTTCCTGTCGAGCCTATCAATGAAATATCTACATGATGTAACACGCAGTTGATTAAGGGCAGTAAATAAATGGACAAGCGATAGATTAAATTAATGAGGGTGTAAGAAAAATAGGTTATATTCTAAGTACAAACCAGTAGTTACGTAAACAAGTGACAGATCTGTTTGGTCTAAGCAATAAGGGTTGATTGGGCCCAAAATTTCAGGTGCGGTTCTGACCACTCCATTCTATCTTGGCTAGTACTTAAAGGCGTGTTTCGATTCATCTCAGGCTGAAGGGACCAGCACGAAAACTTTTTCCAGCCATACCCGCGCCGCTTTCATTACTGCCAGCACATCTCATTTTTCACCAAAACCGACGTTCCGTGTGTGTAAGACCTGCGTTTATAAGAAGATACTGTTCTGAAGCAGCATCGTTCTTTTATTTCATTCCAGCAGCTTCTTTCCATCCTCCAGTACATTTTTTTTCTATATATTAGCTGACCAGCGGTTCTAAGTTTGTGTACAAAGTATAGGAATACGTCATCAGAGACACATGTCTGCGGCAGCGACCTACTTAATTGGTCTTCCCAGTTTGTCTTACATGGCAGGGTGTTTAAGAACTGCCAACTGGAAGCTGTGCTGTGATGGGGAACATTTATGGAATATGTTACGTAACTACGCCTGACAGTATCAGTGACCAGTGGTTCGTTCCGCTCAAAGGCTTTAGTCCGCGGGAGAGATGGTTACCTGGTCGTTTGGAATGCTCACACAAATCCTGTTGACAAGTTATTCAGTGACTAGCTGTGGGTCACCTACATCTAACACGCAACTGGCTGAGGAAGGTTCTGCGAGTCAAACGGCCCTCTGACAGCAATATCGGAAGCAATAGCACTGAAACTGAAATATCTAGTAACCGAAAAATTAGAGATGGAAATTATTTGAAACAAATTCCAACCAGATTTCGGTAGATTATGGTGGATCATGAGCAAGCAGAAAAAACCCGACAAAGGAGGTAATCGCATCCACTGGAGGAACAAGCATCGCATTTGGTAAGAATTTCGTCAAAAAACGGGTAGCTGCTCAACTTTCTGGCTTTACATCAAGCAGAAATTCGTTAAACGATGCTATGAAGGAAAATTATTTCACGTTTCTGCGCCCAGATGGCCAATATTTCAGCGGTGACCTTTGAAACTTCTAATACAGTGCATCTGTGTTACGCCTCATCTTAGTGAAAGATCATAAAAACCATGCCAAAGATGAGATAGCAGAAAAATTTTTGATGTCACGTCTCTTTCCTGATAGTATACTGTGGGAACGCATAAATTGGCTGAATTTATATTACAACGACCACGTAGTAATTTCCGTGTAACCGACGAGCAGCTAGAGGCTCGGGCTGTTTCCATGAACTACTGAACACAGTTTTCTGAACGACGGTGGCTTGTTTCCGACGGTTTCCCGAAAGGGTTACTACACAGAACACATGCAGTTGACGCCGCAAATCCGGATCTGCTCCACTGAGTGGGTGCCTGAGATTTTGGCTTCACCGCGGCAAAACATACACTTTTCGTTCGAACGCGAGCGCGTCCCAAATTTGCGGTCGAAGAAAGCGCGCTGCAGACTTGTGGGATATAAAGGAACATGCAAGATCATGCATTCCTTTCTGTTGGGCAACCTACTGTCAGGTGAAATTGTAAAACCGCAGTCAAAATTGACAGATGTCGACTATGGCACCAACGTAATTAGCGCACGGGATTTAAATCCCCTTGGATGCCATTAGCTCCGCAAGGTGTCAAAAAGAACAGCAGTCAAAACAGCAGCCTGTGAAAGAACATCAACTACCGGAAAATTAACTAGGCCAGCAAACCATCTTAGCCCTAGAAAGAAATCTGCAAAAGGCTTCAGAAAAAACAGGTCGGTGATGAGGTAACTACCAATGAGGCGGTGTCACAAGAATAAAGGTGTTCAGAATCTGTAGCCGAATGAAAACGGAGCACCAGTGTTAGCTACTATTTACAGCGTGGGCTTACTGCTTACTGTACTAGCGTTTCCCCCGAAAACCTAGCCAATCCTAGTTTTCTAGCTTAGGCAGGTTAACCATTTCCTGTCACTTCTATAACTGCATTCAATATCAAGTATTTCTAAAACGGACTGCATGGTATCTGAAAACTCTTCACAATCACCAGACTTCACTGATATCGCATTCGTAAACTTCGACCTTCGGTAGTGCACGCCCGAGCACTCCTCATGGTTGACTTCCACCGTCAACTGCATCGTAATTACCCATGATCACACATCACTTGTAATCTAACCGTGTGGGCACTGTTAGCTAATCCAGAATCCAAATCTGCAAATTTGAACAGCTGTGGGCCGATCGCATCAGCCGGGAAATCCTATACAGGTTTGTCAA